CCCATAATCACAGCTCTATGGAGCAGTATCAGACTCATATTCTGACTAGAATTGAGTAGGACTACGCCAGGCTACCATAAAGTAGCCCTCAGCCTAAAAAAAGTTGGTGACCCCTGCTTTACGTCAACCCTGTATATATATGTATATATCACCATCAGTTTGGGGGGTCCTTCGAAGACCCCTGCTATGGATTGACCCTGAGGTTCTGGTGTCTATCCGCTTTCGGCCACCCCTCAGTGTACATTGGTTATTGCCCTTATAAAAATGTTCTGGCTACGCCTCTGCTCACTGTCAAGTTCCAGCAGAGTTTCCTGAAAGCTGCATCTGAAAGCAGCCTTCCCTGCAGCAATCCACTGAGGTGTGGTGGGATTGCCTCATAGCCTACAGATTGAAGGTATGAGGAGCATGCAGCCTATTTCCCAAGAAGCGCTGCAGGTAAACAGAAATGATGGAGCAGCTGTAATAATGAAAGAGAAGCCAACCAGATTCAGGACACAAAGCAGAGGCTGATGCATCTCATTCATTTTTCATGAACTTCTGTCTGAAGCCTCCAAAATAACAAGTTTCTACTCACCCTGAGGAGCAGACAGCTGCAGATTTAGTCTCTTCGCTCTTCTGGAGGTCCGAGTTTGGAGTCAAAGCATAAACTTATTTCTCCTGCGACACTTCCAGATCACAGAGCCCAGATTAAAGATGAAATCTGGTTCCTCCAGAGGATCAGGGAGGCAGCCTGATGAGGAGAACCCGCTGAGGAGGAGCGCCTGCCCGGTGAGGTCATACTGGGGAAACCCTTCTAAACTGGGGAGACATTTCTCTCTTCTTTTTTATCAAATAGAAATAATAAATTAAAAAAGACAGAACCTCACATGAGTGACTCACTGAGATCTGAGACACAAAAAAATAAAAAAGAAAAGAAAAGAAAAGCCGAACGAGGCTGGTTCCTCTGCAGCAACACCGAAACAAACCTGGATCAAAACACTGGGATGTGCTGTAGGGGGAGGTGGGCGTGGCCTCATTTAGCTCCTCGGGCTGTGATTGGTCAGCTGGTTTCAGGCACATGTGGGCCCTGATGGGGCTGAATGGCGTCTGAGCTGAGCCTCACCTGAAGCTGCAGGTTCAAACCTGCGTCTGATTCACCTTAAACTAAACACACCTTAACCGCCTGCTCTCTGGTGGAAAAAAAATAAAATAATAATAATCCTGCAAATTGTTTTTATTTTTTCTGTATGCTCTGAGGCTGACTGTTGATTAAAGCTCTCACATCGAAACAAAATATATCAATTACTGTGAGAGGATACCATTATTTCCTTTCCTTTGTTTGAAAATTGGTTCAGTGCTGCCACCTGCTGTTCATTCACAGGAAAGACCTTTACATGAAAATCTGTTGCTCTGCCTCACTATGCAGAAGAAAAAAAATGCCTTTTATTCAAAACAATTTAGAGATTCTAATTGGATTGGATAATACAGAAGAGAATAAGGGTCACTGAAAAAATTATTTTTAAATTTTATTTCAGTATAATATGAGAAAAAAGTCATAATTCTGACTTTAATCTCAGAATTCTGACTGAATTCTGACAGCTAACATGTTAGCATCAAGCCGTAGCCATGTCTGTTTTAAAGACTAAACTAGCTCTTTTGTTCTAATCAATTTCTTATCTTCCATTAGTGAAAAAGCATCACCGGGGACCAGTGGCGGTTCTAGACCAAATGTACCAGGGGGCCAGGAGGGCCCCAGCGTGTTTTCATGGGGGAACAGAAAAGCGTGAAATAAAAAAAAAAACAGGGCAATGGATTCAAATATATTAATAAGTGCATGAAGTAAAATTTCTATTCAATTTAGTTTAATTAAATTTCAATGTCTTACTAGGACCATATACATTCATAATTTAGGAATTTTACATATTTTTGACTTAATTTGAGTTAAATTACTGTTTTCTATAAAATCAGAATTAGAACTTAAGACATACAGATACATTCAGCTTTAAACATTTGAGGTTTTTTTTATTTGTTTTGAAAAAAAAAAAAACATTCAGCAGATGAAAACTGGGATCCTATCTCGATACCACTGCCTTCGAATCTGGCTTTCAGAGGACGCAGCTCATAAATTCGAACGCAGCCACCCAAAAAGATTATATTTATTAACAGCGTTACTTGCCATGTAATGAATGGTCCGTCCTGCTCAGGTGTCAGACTCAGGGGTCCAGACCGTTGACATGTATATAAATAAACCCTCCATCGACCACTATTCCCTGAGCCGGTGGGACACATTAGGGCCAGATATTTCATGTATTTGTGCTACAAACTTTATAAATACAGCTCTTATAACAAAGTCCAGCACTTTTTAAAATGTTACTGGGGAAAGAACATTTTAATATAAGAGACTGATCTAAATGGATCTAAATTAAGTTAACAACTAAAGAGTTGAAGCGTAAAACAGATCAGTTGCTTTGGGTTTTCTATGCAAGTCAGTAATTTTGTAATATTCTGATTCCTGCAAAGCCCTGCCTGTATTCAAATATATGTTTTTAAAGGTTAAAAACTGAATCAAGTGTTTGTAGCATTTAAAAATGATTTCAATTATGTGTTTTAAATATCTAAAGAGTTGAGGCGAATCTTCAAAGCTTAATCTTTTAAAGTTCTGCGAGTTTAAAACCCGCCCGCGACCCAGGGGTGGCTTTTGAACTTTGAGCATGTACGTATGAGTATTTAAAAGGCAACATAGCATGTCCGCATATCTACAGAAAGCTCTCGTTCTACTTTTTTTAATGATACCAAGCATGCTGAACCTCGACAAATGCAGCGCCTTTTTTTTAGAGAGAGAAACATGAGAGATACACACAACTCAAAAAGTTCATGTTTCACCTTTAACTTATTCCAAGGAGAAAAATACAATATTTCCCTCCAAGTTTGGTTTCTTTCTGCTCGAAACAGCAAGAAAAAGGATAATCTGGTAAAATGATGGCTCCAAACGTCGTATTAAATCCACAAAGGCACGAATATTGCAGGATAACTAACTAATCTTCAGGGAAAAACACCACATTTTGCTATTTTTACTCAAAATCCCCACTACAAGATGCTAAAACAACGTATTTGAAGAAGAAAGGTTGTTCTGTTAAAGTATAAGAGCCTTAAATATCAGCATGAACCAATCTGCTCCTCTTTATGACATATTTGGGTAGTTTAGGTTGCAAAATACAATTTTTTAAGTTTCAAATAAACAGATATCTACAAATAATATGAAAAAAACGCACTTTAATAAATTAGAAAAACAGCAAAAAAAAAAAAAAAAATGAATACGATGAATAATATAGATTAGAAAACCTACAGCAGTGTGTGCTCATATAAAATATATCACACAAAAATCATTAAAATAATATCCTGCTGCTGGATAATTTATTTTAAAATCTCTCTGATCACAGATTCTGTATGTAGGATTTTTTTATTTTATGGTAAAATATGTGGTATAAGGCATTCTGTCAGACATTTTATTGATTAGGAGGTTACAGAAGGTCAGTAACTTTTCTCTGGTTAGCATGTTCTTCATGCATGAAATCTCTCAGAGAAAGAAATATCAGCCATTAAATAAACACTGCAACACATTTTTCTTTATCCTTTAATGATCTTTAAAAAATGAGCAGGTGATATTTTCTCTTTATTTTTCTGCTGATGTTTCAGATCCAAACACAGGCACAACTTGGACGACTGCAAAAGTGAATTTTAGATCAGAACAAGAAGCAATCAGACAGCGTAACACACAGAGAGACGTCATTTACAAACAAGTAATTACAGCAGGACGCTCGTCTCCAGAAACTGCATGTGAAGCGTCACTGGGAGAGGAAGAGAAATGGATGATGACCAGAGGCTGACTGTGCTGGAGGGCAGAGTATGATGAGGAGCAACGGGATTTTAAATGTCGTTCAGAAAAACACAGTGGTTTAAGTTTTAAACTATTTTATTTTGGACAATAGATCCTTTTTGGCCCTTAGGATGTATTATAAGCTTACGACGGCTTCTGCTAAGTTAGACTCTGAAAGTAAATAAGCTGCATTATTATATCAATATCAGGTAGTAAAAAATGATCCATGTTTAATATCATTAATAGTATTTTTTATGCTAGGATGGCTGACGTTAATGTTAATGAAATCATTTGTTATTTAAATAGCTTTTTTCTTGTTTTTCCTTAAGTCTTAATCCATGTTGTGTGTCCCTATTATTTATGTGCACTGCAAAAACNATCTCTCAGAGAAAGAAATATCAGCCATTAAATAAACACTGCAACACATTTTTTTTTATCCTTTAATGATCTTTAAAAAATGAGCAGGTGATATTTTCTCTTTATTTTTCTGCTGATGTTTCAGATCCAAACACAGGCACAACTTGGACGACTGCAAAAGTGAATTTTAGATCAGAACAAGAAGCAATCAGACAGCGTAACACACAGAGAGACGTCATTTACAAACAAGTAATTACAGCAGGACGCTCGTCTCCAGAAACTGCATGTGAAGCGTCACTGGGAGAGGAAGAGAAATGGATGATGACCAGAGGCTGACTGTGCTGGAGGGCAGAGTATGATGAGGAGCAACGGGATTTTAAATGTCGTTCAGAAAAACACAGTGGTTTAAGTTTTAAACTATTTTATTTTGGACAATAGATCCTTTTTGGCCCTTAGGATGTATTATAAGCTTACGACGGCTTCTGCTAAGTTAGACTCTGAAAGTAAATAAGCTGCATTATTATATCAATATCAGGTAGTAAAAAATGATCCATGTTTAATATCATTAATAGTATTTTTTATGCTAGGATGGCTGACGTTAATGTTAATGAAATCATTTGTTATTTAAATAGCTTTTTTCTTGTTTTTCCTTAAGTCTTAATCCATGTTGTGTGTCCTTATTATTTATGTGCACTGCAAAAACGATCAAAACATTATTAAATTAAGTGTATTTGCCCTTAATTTGAGCAGGTAAATAAAATAATCCGCCATCGGAATGAGCATTTTTACTCTTTAAATAAGTAGAAAATAAGATAATTAGATATTATACACTTGAAATAAGAGACTACAGTTGTTTTCTTCTTTTTTTAAATGTAAATTGCCTTAATCCATTGGCAAATTATATTACTAAACTGCTTAATTCAAGAAAAATGACCTTTTTCTAAGAATAATAAACTTACCTAAATTAAAATTTTTTTGCAGTGTGGGCTTAATCCTCGACTGACCACTCAATCAGGGGGGTTATGTTGTTAGAGATAAAATTAAAACTAGATTGAGTAAAATCTGCTAATAACTAAAAATATTAAGGGAAAAAAAGTGAATATTTGAATAATAATTTGTAGCTATTTTTTTATCAGGAATAAATGTAAACAGTTATTGTCATCAGCTGTAACATCTGGTTCTTTGTGTAACACATGTCGCACTTTAAACTCTTTTAGTGTTTTTAGATGTTTGCTTTTTATATTCCTCACATTTTAACTCTTGTTTTAACCAAATTTTAGAGCCAGCTGAGTATGATCAATACATGGTATCTTGGATTTATTCAAAGATCATTCTGATTTAAAGTTCCCCCTGTGAAACAAATGCTCCCTCACAGCATTGGTAGTTTTTAATGCAGCCCTGATGAAAAGATTAGGAATCAAAACAAATATTTACATTTTATTCTTTTGAATCATCAGTTTTTAAAAATGAAATTCAAAATGCGAAAAATAGGAACATTATTGAAACTCCTCACCACTTGACGAGAACATTTTAACTTTAAAAGTCAGAATCCGTGCATGAATCTAACTTTTATCTCAATTTCTGTCATTGAGTCACGCTACCACGGCTCACATGTAGAAAAGGCAAAATGGCTTTTTTACTTATTGCTGGGCTTCATGGTGTTTTGCAAGGTGCTGAGGGGCGCAGACTCTTTGTAAATCAGCATA